GAAACTGAAACGAAACACCTCCACACACAGGTAAAACAGCGTGCAACTGCGGCTGCGCAGGCGCAAAAAAAAAAAAAAAAAAAAAAAAAAAAAAAGCAGGCCTGGCTCTGGGATTCGAACCGGCCTGCACACACTGTGGCGCAGTCACACAGTTCTAAGCCTCAGTGCCTCCCTCCCTAACGAGGTCCGTAAGCCTGTCAGGAAATGCCCGGAGGACCCCCTTTTTAGACATTAGGCTGGGACTCGCTGCCGGTCCAGTATATGGCGGAGCCTAGAGAGCCGGGACCAGGCGCGAGGACCGAAGAGCTGCCATGCCCGCTCAGGTTCTCACCTCTTTGTCTGCCGCCTTCTCCTCAATGCCAAGCAGCGCGTACAGATCCATTTGTAAGAGCTCTTTAGTCACCGCCATGGTTCGAGCCCCGACCGAATGGGTACTACAATTCCCAGGAGTCTGAGCGCGCACTGGCTGGGGGCCGGCCCAACGGCGCTAAGGCCCCTGGGAATCGGCGCGATCCGGTTGAGGTTTGACTGACTATGGAGGAGCGCGCCGCGGGAAATGAACTACGACTCCCAGCATGCCACACTCCGCGGCCGCCCGCGGGGTGGTGAGCGGAGAGAGTCAGAATTCCCCGCCGCGCAGGGCGGCGGCTGCATGGCGCGGGTGGGCGTGTAGAGCTGGGCTGCGTAGGCTTGAGGGTCTGATCGGCCTGCGCTGCGCTGGTGAGAGGCTGTCCCTCGGATCTGTGGCGCCGGGTCGCCATGGAGAGCAGGTGCTACGGCTGTGCTGTCAAGTTCACCCTCTTCAAGAAGGAGGCGAGTGTTCTCCTAGAGAGCTGGAGGGCCAAGGGAGGACGCGGGGCGAACGGAAGAGCACGGGACTTGCAGGCCCAAGACCCAGCTTGGTGTGGTTTTGACGAAGTAACCCCGTTAACATTTCTGTAAAGTGGGGCGAATGCCCACTCGCTTTCTGGGTTAAGATGATGGTATGATGAGATCCAGCGAGATGGCTCTGCGGGTAAGCGCACTTGCCGCCAAGCCGGGATGACCTCAGTTCGAACCCCAGGAAGGAGAGAACTCCCGCAAGTTATTCCCTGATCTCCACACACGTGCCATGGCATGCACGTGTCCACACACACACTCACAAAGAAATAATGTAATTAAAATAAAATTTTAAAGGGGTTTGGTGAGGGGCTGGAGCTGAAAGCACCCTAAAATGATAGTGTATTACTGTCAGGTTCCAAAAGCACACTTTTTTTTTTTTTTAAACCGCCCAGTGAAGCATCTGCTTCCTGCTTCTCCATTCTCTGCTTTTCTCCATTTCGGTCTTTTAATGTCCTGTGACCGCTGTGTGTCACACCGTGCCCGTTACTCTCTGTTCTGAAACCTGCCTCATAGGCAGCCTGCCTTTACCCAGGTTAGATTACAATTATTTCCTCTTTCTCCCAGGGCGCAATGGAAAGGCCTTCTTGTTCTCAACACAGACTTACCAGGTCCTCCTTGTAAGCTTCTGGGGAGACAGTGGGAAATAAGTGGGATGAATTCATGATATGCAGGACTAGAGCACTTCAGGAGCATGAATTTTAGAGTCAGGGTTCAGATTTCAGCGGCCCTGTCTTATGCACGAAAAGACCTAAATTGAACAAGTCCTGTAATTTCTCTGGCCCCTGTTAAAATAGAGATACTAATGGTGGGCATCAGGACCAAATATGATAATGTGTGTAAATTATGACAGTTAGGTCAGATGACGGATTTTAAGGTCCAAGCTGTGTGCCTGGTACACACTAAGTACTTAATAACTGAAGCTATTGTTACCACCCTATCCTGAGCCAACCTCCCGCCCCCATCTTGCCAGAGCAGAGAAAGCATAGCATCTGCACTGGGTCTGATTCTCCTTTGTTGACTAGCCAGCGATCTGACTCCCAGGGCTCTGTTTGTCTTCATTGTTCACCCCCATGGTAAGACATTGAAAATGGTAGAAAGCATGTGAGTTTTGCCTGAAATTTTATCTGACTTGAAGAAGACCCTGAAAACCAAGGAACTGCTGTGCCCTCTACCCCTCTCTCTCCCCGGACCCTAGGGATCCCACTGCTCTTCCTTCCTCCAACATCTGGTCACAACTTCAATTTCTTCTTTCTGTGAGTGCTTACTTAGAGAGTCCCAGAGAAGAGCCGATAGGGTTGGGTGAGAGATGGAGCGTCCTGCTTTGTGTTTCTTACAGTACGGCTGTAAGAACTGCGGTCGGGCCTTCTGTAATGGCTGTCTTAGCTTCAACGCTCTGGTACCTCGGGCTGGCAACACTCAACAGAAAGTCTGCAAGCAGTGCCACGCAGTCCTGACCAGGTGAGAGAAAGGCATGGCCAAGGGTTCAGACAGACACGACAGTCAGCATCTGAGCAGGCCTGTGGCCTTGTGATCCCTGGCCAGAGGCCTGCCTAGGAAGTATTTGGGGTAGAAATCACTGACGATGGGACTTCTCACACTACATTTCCTCTCTAGAGGATCTTCTGACAATACCTCCAAGTGGTCGCCACCTCAGAACTACAAGAAGTAAGTACTGACAGCAAAGGACAAGGACCCCAGCAGCAGGACCCTGGTCCCCAGATCACATGGGTACAGGCTAAAGAGAATGCCCACCTCCGGTCTCCTGGCTCCCTTCTCAGATTCTGAAAGCAGCTCATTAACCTGTTCTCAGAACAGGCATTTGGGAACTCTTCCCTCTCAGGCAGACCTTCAGCTGGTCAGCTGGGCCTGGCTGCAGTACCACGTAAATAGAGGCCCCAGACGATGGCCTCTCGAGGCCCCAGTTGATCTGGATGGGTGCCTTCAGCCTTCCCCTTTGCCTTAAGAGTATCTACCTCATGTCCTGCCAGGCGTGTGGCAGCCTTGGAAGCCAAGAAAAAGCCCAGCACTCTCCAGAGCCAGGGCCTAACGCCACAAGACCAAGCCATCGCTGACCGCCTGGCGCGGCTCCGTCAGGAAAACAAGCCCAGTGAGTTGAAGTGGGCAGGGGTGTTGCTGGAGAGCTTCTCTCCAGGTTCCCCAAGCCCCGCAGTCCCACAATCCACGTATAAAATAATCACTCAGACAGTTATATTACTTATAAACTGTATGGCCGTGGCAGGCTTCTTGCTAACTGTTCTTATATCTTAAATTAACCCATTTCTATAAATCTATACCTTGCCATGTGGCTGGTGGCTTACCGACGTCTTTACATCTGCTTCTCCTGGCGGTGGCTGTAGTGTCTCTCCTCCTTCTTCCTGTTTCCCCAATTCTCCTCTCTCTTTGTCCCGCCTATACTTCCTGCCTGGTCACTGGCCATCAGTGTTTTATTTATATAGAGTGATATCCACAGCATCTTTCTCTATTCCTGTATTCCTTTCTTTCCTTCTTAGTCCATGTCTGGCTGTGTAGCTGGGTGCCTGGGTGCCTGGCCCCTAAAGTCCTCTTTCCTCTCTCATTCCTTCATCTTCTCCCAGATTTCTCCTTCTAATTATTCTCTCTGCCTGCCAGCCCTGCCTATCCTTTCTCCTGCCTTGCCATTGGCTGTTCAGCTCTTTATTAGACCATCAGGTATTTTAGACAGGCACAGTAACACAGCTTCACAGTTAAACAAATGCAACATAAAAGAATGCAACACATCTTTTCATCATTAAACAAATGTTCCACAGTGTAAACAAATGTAACACATCTTAAAATAATATTCTACAACAGTATAATTTAAAATTTAAAAATACCTGCCAAGTGGAAAAGAAGTTTACAATTAAATATCTTAGAACTTAGATGGATGTGTGAATTAAATGTATTTGTATTGGGTTTTGTTGTTGTTGTTGGTGGTGGTGGTGGTGGTTTGTAATTTGGTGGTGGGGTTGGTAATGGTGGTGTTTGAGACAGTCTTACTATGTATGTAGTCCCCAGAAACTGTCAGTTGTTAGCTACTCAGTTAGGGCGTGGAGCTCCTGGGCCCCTGCTTTTTTACATTCTGACACCAGGTTTAGACCTGTAATTGCTTGTATGTTGCCGTGAGGGATGAAATGATTCTCTTTCTTGGAGAGAAGGGTGGTGATACAACTGATGGGCAAGTGCTGAACAGTAGTTCCTTTGAGTGTGCTGTCCTTTAATCGTAGTCCTTGTGGTTTCACAGGTATGGGAGGAGCCGCCATCGCCCCGCCCACTTCTCTTGTAGAGAAAGACAAGGAGTGTACGTACATTGCTTTCTTCTTTTATCCTCTTATTCTCATACAGATATTTATGAACTGTGGATATCCTAAGCTTGAATCTCTAGTTTCCACACCTGAAGTCACAGTGGCCCTTGCTACCTGCTAAACTGGGATGCTTTGCTTTGTTTTGTTTTACAACAGGGTCTCAACTGTGTAGTACTGGCTGACCTGAAACTATGTTGACCTGCCTCTGCCTTCTGAGTGCTGAGGTTAAAGGCATGTACCACCATGCCCCACCCTGCACGTGAAATATTTTAATATCAGGATCTGAGTGCAGATTTGTTTTGTTTTATTTTGTTTTGTTTTTCAAGATAGGGTTTCTCTGTGTAGCTTTGTGCATTTCCTAGAACTCACTCTGTAGCCCAGGCTAGCCTCGAACTCACAGAGGTCCACCTGACTCTGCCTCCCGAGTACTGGGATGAAAGGTGTGTGCCGCCACCACCCAGCGAGTGCAGGTTTTTTTTTTTTTTTTTTTGGTTTTTCGAGACAGGGTTTCTCTGTGTAGCTTTGCGCCTTTTCCTGGAACTCACTTGGTAGCCCAGGCTGGCCTCGAACTCACAGAGATCCGCCTGGCTCTGCCTCCCGAGTGCTGGGATTAAAGGCGTGCGCCACCACCGCCCGGCGCAGGTTGTTATACAGGAAGATAAATTGGTTTTTATTGTTGTTAAATTGTTAAATTTTTTTCATCAAGATTTCATGTTTGTGTGAGATTCATTTGAAGTTAATAAAAGCAGTAGTTGCTCATGCCCATTACCCAGCATGGGGGACAAAGGCAGGAATTACTCAAATTCAAGGCCAGCCTGTGCTGGATAGTGTGTTTCCAGGCTAGCTTGTGCTATAGAGTGAGACCTGTCTTAAAAATCACAAATAGATAACAGATTTTGTAACTCAGAGGTTTAGAGCCTGTTGTATTTTGTGATCTTTCACAAGGAGGCATGCCTTTTGTGATTAAAAATTTTTCCATTAATTTTTGTTACTGAGCAGCAGTTTTCTACATACGTATGTTGCTAAAACATGCCCACCCACTGCTGATTCTCCTCTGTACCTCTTCTAAAATCTGGAAGTTGTAATTGGGCTTTGTCCCATGCTGTAGGCTGAGCCATACCTAACCTATCGTTAAAAATAAATGGCTAGGCCTGCAGAGATGGCTCAGCACTCAAAAGCACTGACTCCTCTTCCAGGGGACCCAGGTTCGATTCCCAGCACTCACACAGTGGCTAATAGCCATCTATAACTCTAGTTCCAGGGAATCTGACACCTTCTTCTGTCCTTCATGGGTCCCAGATGTGCATACACTTAGTACATAGAGATAAATGCAGGCAGAAGACTCACACACAAAAAATAAATGAAACAAAAAAAAAATAAAAATAAAAGCCATCAGTAATCTTTTAAAAATATTTATTATTTATTCTAATTTTATGTATATGAGTGTTTTGCCTGCATTATACCTGATACCTGTGGATACTAGAAGAGAGCATTGTATTCCCTGGAACTGGAGTTACGAAGGTTGTGAGCTACCATATGGGTGCTGAGAACTGAACCTGAGCCCTCTGTAAGGCAGCCAATACTCTTAACCACTGGTCCATCATTCCAGCCCTAATATTTTTTAATATGTAGTATGCTGTTTATTATATTTTAAAAGAAGATAATTTAAGAATATCATCAAATATATATTGTTTAAACAGAATACCTGACAGACAACAAACTGCAGTTGAAACCAGTTTCTGACAGGAGGGCCATGCATCTGATGTCTTTAAAGTTTCCTGTTGATGCTAATATGCAACTACATTAAAAAGCAACTGAATATGGTCCTGACAGGACAGGTTTTTTTTTTTTGTTATTTTTTTATGGTCTTTGCAGCTAGCTAAGTTAGAGTCTAGAGCAGGTACTCTGATGCTGTGGGACTCCAATGAGAGCTACATTGCATCTCCATGGAGCATACAGAGATCTTGCAGTCAAGCAGAGCTGCTGACATCTAAGTGAGTGCTTTAGTGGGTGAGCAGCATTTCAGTAAGATGGGGAAAAGTATGCCTGGGAAGATATGAGCAGTAGAACTCAGAGTCGTCTTCTCTGGTTTTTTAAAAATCTACATAGATGCTGTAGACCAGAAAAATCAGAGGGACAGAAGGTAGCAAAACATGTGAATGAATAATGTAGCCTACTGTTCTGAATGCTAATTATATAGTTTTTATTTAATTGTTATAAAAAAAAAAATGCCAGGAGTGCAGAGATGGGTGGCTCACCAGTTAAGAGGGCTTGCTGCTTCCAGAGGCCATGGGTTAGGTTCCTAGCATCAACCACCTGTCCATACATACACTCAGGCATACACAGAAGGTATATAAATGAGTCTAAAAAATCATCTCCAAACAATTCATGCTGGCTGTGAAGACTGCTGAAATAGGGACAGTGTTTCGGAAAGAAAGAACATACCAAAAATGTAGGTGAAATCAGCTCATGGTGGACAGTTGAAGCTAGTGAAGCTTTGGACGGTGGTGTGGTTTGTTTTGTGGCGCTGTGGTGAGCCGCCTACTTTACTTTTCTCCAACAGTACCCCGAGATTTTCCTTATGAAGAGGACTCAAGACCTCGATCTCAGTCTTCCAAAGCTGCTATTCCTCCCCCAGTGTATGAGGAACCGGATAGACCAAGATCTCCAACTGGACCCAGCAACTCCTTCCTTGCTAACATGGGGTAATTAGAGCTTTAAGTGTCCTAGCCAGCTAAAAAAATATCACAAGTGGCTTGAGACTCAGGGTGTGGGTGTGGCACAGTCCTTTGAAAGTGGAACGCAGGGGATATTGAGTTTCGGGCTAGCCTGGACTACACAGTGAGACTGAAATACAGTATGAAGCGTTTGTCACTCTCTATAGGTGGAACTCATTTAAAAATGAAGACTGTCACTTGTTGCTCTCTAAAGGATTAGTCTTCAAATCATGTTGAGTGTTTTCCACCCCGCTGAGGGCTTGTACAAAACAGCTTTCTAATACAAGTCATGGCTGATTTAGACACATTATTTCTATACATAGGAGACGTTTCTGATAGTTAATGACACTGTTTTTTTTAACAGACACTGAATTTTCCTGAAGAAATGGTCCTTTGCCTTAGATTGCGGTCTTACACCTTTGGTTTTAAGGAACTGCTCAGGCTGGAGGTGGAGTTCAGTGGCAGAAGGCTGCTTTGCTGTGCACTAGCCCTGGGCTTTGACCCTAACTACTCCCCTCGAAACAAAAAACACCTCCTCTCATCCTAACTATATAGACATGTGTTTGTCATAGTATGAACAAATGAGTTTTAAGATTAACATTTGAGTATGACTGGTAGATTTTATTCATTGGTTCTGGGGTAGTTTCTCCTTATATAGCCCAGGTTGGCCTCAAACTCATTGTTCTCTGGCCGCCGGCCTCGGTCTCCAGAGTCTGATGTTAGGATTGCAGGGATGTGCCACTGTATTTTAGCTCAGCTCTATGCTGTGAAGGGCTGCTCAAGTGGCATTGCCCTGAATGATTTGTTCTGTGCTGCTTAGCAGGATGCTGCTGGAGTAGAAATGCTGTTAGTGATACAGCAGATGTGGTAGTCCCACTGAGTTCTGAGAGCCCTCGGGAGGTACTGATGAAAGAGTTGGAGTAGATAGGTGGCTGGCTCCATGCAGTGGGAGGGCTTTTCAAATGATGAAAAGACTTTCTTCGGTCACACTGGTCTCAACTGCTGGTAAGCACACAGTACAATTAACAGTGCGGGTGTTGGTGCAGGTCAGGACGGCTGTCTTACGGACAGTGTCTCGTCTCACTGCACAGCCCGACACTGAAGGGGAAGGTAGCGGGGACGTGCTTCTGGTTCTTGTCCTTCCTACTCACCATAAAAACTGTCATTTAAATGAGAATTGGCTTTCTAACTTCAAAGGGATCCAACATGGTATAGTTTAGCCTTCGTAGTAGTTTGCTTTACCCTGGAATAGCTTGTTCAAAGAAAACCTGAAAGGAGTTACAGAAGACAGACAGGTGCAGCTCTGGTGGAAGCTGGGCTCGTGATCAAAGCAAGCAGATGGTGTCACTGGGGTGCCCTTGAGACCCTTGGACACCAGGAGGAAATTGTGTGCTCTTACAGAACGCAGCAGACCAAGAATCCAATTCCATTTGTGCCCTTAACACCTGGAAAGAGCGTTTCCATTGCTTTCTTGCTGTGCATTTGACCTTAAACTAGCCATCTAACCTTGGCCTTGTTTTACTTCCTGTCCATTCAGTAGATGCTTTCTAAGGCTCTTTCATTGTAGTTTCTGCTGTGCCATGAAAAAATACAATCTTTTTATCTGAAACCTCGTACTTGGAACTTGACAGGCCACCATTTTCAACTTCTCTTAAGCGAGGTAACTGTGCAGACAGGCAGATCACGGAGACACAGTTTGTCTTACACGACAAAGCCGTTCTTAAAGAAGCTATCATTCCCCACAGAGATAAACTCGGCTATCTTGAGTTGCATTTATTAGCTTTTTATAATTCTTCCATCCCCAAGGTTTCCATCTAGAAGCCACTACTAACTGTGTGTCTTGAAGCCTTGTGGTATGCACACTGTTTCCGGCCAAGGCATTGCTGCCATAGCTCCCTTGTGTTCCTGTGTCAATGGCATCGACTCTAAGGACCCTTTTCCTTTCCTCCTAGTGGCACAGTGGCTCATAAGATCATGCAGAAGTATGGCTTCCGGGAAGGCCAGGGGCTGGGGAAACATGAGCAAGGGCTGAGTACTGCACTGTCAGTGGAGAAGACCAGCAAGCGGGGCGGCAAGATCATTGTGGGTGATGCGACGGAGAAGGGCGAGTCTCAGGGTAAGTTCACAGCATTTGGTCCTTCAGCCAGAGGGACGTGTGCTCTCCCTTTCGGTGCAGTGATTTCTGTTAGGACACGTTTTCCACTTCGTCTCATGAAACCAGGAAGCCTTGAGACTCATCTTTCTTTTCTTTTTTTTTTTTTTTTTTTTTTTCAAGACAGGGTTTCTCTGTGTAGCTTTGCGCCTTTCCTGGAACTCACTTGGTACCCCAGGCTGGCCTCGAACTCACAGAGATCCGCCTGCCTCTGCCTCCCAAGTGCTGGGATTAAAGGCGTGCGCCACCACCACCCGGCCTCATCTTTATTTTCTTCAGAGCCAAGACAGAGATGAAATATGCTTGTGGCAAAGTTACCCTGCTGCTTTGATTAGGCCAAGAATCTCCATACCTTGATAATAAATATTCAGTGTCCTCTTTATTCACATCTTCAGTGGATCTTCCTTTACCCTTCCAATATAGATGTTTTTGGTTTTTGGTTTACTTACTGACCATTCATTTGTTGAGGTCTACTGTTGCTTTGTAGTACCGAGTTGCTATTTTATTTTCATTTAATTTTTATAATTTGTTCTGTGTGTATAGAAAATAGGAATGAGGCATATCTTAGCGTTAGCATTTTAAGTAGAAAAAAAGTGGTTTAATTATAAATCAGCTTATCTGAATTCCCTTCCCTAAAATACAGTAACAACTTGACTGGCAGCCCTGTTAATACACAGCCTCAGCAGTAGCCAGTTACCTGAATGCTGAGTACTGGTTGCAAAAACAATAGTTATCCCAGTTGACAGTAGTATCTAAAGTCAGTTAGCTGGTTACTCCAGGACAAGGGTCATCCATCAGTAAATGTTATAATCTGTGTGCTCTGCCAGCCTTCAGGAAATGAAACGAGCAAAAGGTAATGGTCGAAGCTAGAAACATTCAGAAAATACCATAGAAGCATGTATCAAAGAAAAACGTTTTTATTGCAGGGACTGGTTGCATATAGATGCTTTTATAGATGACTTGAAGGCACAAATAATGAAATTGCTATTGTAATTGAATTAGACATGTGATGGGACTCAGTTCTCTAACACTTCTGTTTTAGTTCCATTTCCTGTTGCTGTGGTAAAGTACACGGACAGAAGAACCTCATGGAGGGTTTGTTTATTTGGCTCAATTCCAGGTTGCAGTCTGTTACTGAGGGGTGACAGCAGTAATTTGAAGCAGCTAGTCACATGCCGTGTAGTTGGAGAAGGGAGCAGTGAATTAATGCATGCGAGCTAGTTCTCGTTGGCTTTCCCAGCCTGGTGTAGTCTAGGCCCCCAAACCCAGAGACCCTCTCATGTCAATGAATGTACTTAAGATAGTATCTCACAGACATTCTCAGAGGCCCTTTTAGGTGCTTCTAGATTGTGTTGCTGACAATTAAAACTAACCATCATAGTGTCTAATAATGTTTTGATACAGATGCATCCAAGAAGTCGGATTCAAATCCATTAACTGAAATACTTAAGTGCCCTACTAAAGTGGTCCTGCTGAGGGTAAGAAGTAAAAGAAACCTGTCCCCCTTGATTCTGTGTTACCCTGATCTACCTGTCTCTGTGGTCTTTCACAAAGTCCCACTGATGACCTAAAAGCTAAGAAGACTGAAAATATGGGCTGGAGCAGTGGCTCAGTGGTTAGGAGCATGGGATGCTCTTCCAGAGGACCCAGGTTTGGTTCCCAGCACCCACAGGATGGTTCACAATTGTCTATATGGAACTATCTAGTTCCAGGGGATCCACCCCTTTCTGGCCTTTGAAGGCATCAGGCACTCACATGGTACACAGACATACATTCGAGCAAAATGCTCACCCATATATTAATCAATAAACTGTTAAAAACTGAAAATGATACTTTTGCAGGTCGTACAGATACTGGGTACAGCCTTACAGATGGTTTAGGTTATCCTCTCAGTAAAGTGTGACATTGAAGTAATTAGTTGAAAGCGTTGGAAATTTCTGGAACATCCTCTTTTTTTTGGGGGGGGGGGGGGGGTTCGAGACAGGGTTTCTCTATGTAGCTTTGCGCCTTTCCTGGAACTCACTTGGTAGCCCAGGCTGGCCTCAAACTCACAGAGATCCGCCTGGCTCTGCCTCCCAAGTGCTGGGATTAAAGGCGTGTGCCACCACCACCCGGCCATGGAACATCCTCTTAAGTGTAGTTCTGTGTACATAGTCTTGTAGCACTTTTCAAGCTTCATGTATATTTACAGGAATGCCAGCTTTGAGTACTTGAGGGTCAGAGTTTTCCTTGTGTTTTGGGGATTAGAACATACCCCACATCTGGGGTGTTGCTTAGTGTTAGATGTTTCCTAGCATGTGCAAGGTTCTAATCTTGGGTGAGTGAAGGGAGAGAGCACTTGTCATTATGAAGGAAACTGTTATTTCTGAAACCCTCACACATTTGTAAATTATGCTTGGTACTTAGTTGTTTGTCTGTTTCTGTATAGAACATGGTTGGTGCAGGAGAGGTCGATGAAGACTTGGAAGTTGAAACCAAGGAAGAATGTGAAAAATACGGCAAAGTTGGGAAATGTGTGATATTTGAGGTAGGAAGATTTTCTTTTGATATAACTTGTAATTGACAGATTATAAACCCTCTTCCACAAGTAGCATTGGCATTGATCCCTGTCTTACTACAAAAGCCAATGCATATTGGTTACATTTCTCATATGTGCTAGGTTGTTATTTCGTGGTTGGTTGTTTTTAAGACAAGATCTTATTTTGTAGCCCAGGCTGGCCTTGAGCTCATAGAGATCTGCCAGCCTCTGCCTCCCCAATGCTAGGACTCAAGTCGTGTGCCACCACTGCCAGCTATGTGTTAGTTTTAATTGTAAAAACAAAAGTAGATTTTAGCGGGGGAGGGGGGGCTGGTGCACTCCTTTAATCCCAGCACTTGGGAGGCAGAGCCAGGCGAATCTCTGGGTTTAAGGTCAGCCTGGTCTACAGAGCGAGATCCAGGACAGGTACCAAAACTACACAGAGAAACCCTGTCTGAAAAAAAAACCAAAAATAATAATAATAAAAAGGTAGATTTTATTTGGTAATATAATGCAAATATTTTATTACATCATTTTGTAAGTATTTAGCCTCTCTCAGAGAGCCCTTAAATGAGAACATTTAAGATACCAGAAACGTGTTGTGTTTTGAGGAATATGCTCAGTTGAAGAGACATAGCACATAGCAAATAACCGGGAAATATAAAATAGTAGACCTGGTAGTGTTGGTAAGTATAGATCTTAGAAAAGGGTCAGCAAAAACAAGAGGAGCCTTATGAACAATATCAGGTGTGAGCTTAGCTTTGATAGGATATGTGGGGAGTGGTGGAGGCGGGTGTTCAGACTAAATCAATAGATAGGAGACTGAGGACTCCTTGGGGAATTAGTTGAGAGTTCTGCTTACATAAATGGAATGGAGCTGTATTATGGAAGGCTTGAAAAGCTAAAGTCAAAATGCAGACCTGTGTGAAAGCAGCTGGAGTAGTGCTGTGCACTAAAGTTTCTGCTTTTGCTGCTGCTACTGCTGCTCTTCACCCTGTTGTTTCCTGATGGTGTGATCATTTGATTATATGCTGGCTGCCATGGGCAGCGTCCTCCAGGAAGTCAAAAGACTACAATCGATTAGCTTTAGATGTGTTTCCAGCCCCTAACACAGTACCCTCCAAAAGCATTTGTACATTTTGATATGTGCAATTTATATTTATTTCCTTGATGGTTGACCACTTTTGTCGTGTGTGTGTGTGTGTGTGTGTGTGTGTGTGTGAGAGAGAGAGAGAGATAATAATTAGAATATGTGCTCGGACACACAACTTTACTCCTATGGTCCTTTCCATTCTAGATTCCTGGTGCCCCTGATGATGAAGCAGTACGGATATTTTTGGAATTTGAGAGAGTTGAATCAGCAATTAAAGGTATACTGATAATTAAAGATTTTAACAAATACTAAAGTTACTGCTTGTTTTGATGTCTTTAGGATACCTGTATTAACTGGTTGTCTTTTTGTTTACTTTTTAGCTGTTGTTGATCTGAATGGGAGGTATTTTGGTGGACGGGTGGTTAAGGCATGTTTCTACAATTTGGATAAATTCCGAGTCTTGGATCTCGCAGAACAAGTTTGACTGTCACCTAAAGTCACTTCCATGATCTTTATATGAGCTGCAGACTGAGCAATGACACTGGCATCAGCCTCCATGGCTGTTGGACACAGACTCTTGGACGGACTTCTGAGATATATGTTGATGGATCCCTTTTTTATTTTGTGGTTTTTTTAATATAGTATAAAAATCCTTCAAAAAAAACCTGTGTGCCTCTGGTTGTTTTCTCGCTGCTGCTTCTGTGTCGGTTGCTTTCACTGGGATTTCATGCCATGCAGCATGTCTGGACCTAAAAGATCTAGAAAGGCTGAGAGTGGAGTTTGTATTAACTCGTCCTCTTCCTCCTTAATAAAGCATTGAAGTTACAGAGCTGTAGCTTTATACATTGTACAATAAAGTCACGTTTTGGCGGTCTGCTGGAGGTGAACATGCTTGCTTTCTATATAGTGAAGTTCAGTGCCTCTAGTCAGAAAAAAACCTTAGCCTGAATTAAGATTGCAGAATCAAGAGCTCATGTGGCCTACCTGCTGGGTTGAGTTGTTTGCTGTTTAAGCTAAGCCAGACTATAGGGTTTGTAGTGGTTTTGTGGAGTATATGGGTATAGAAATCATTGAGGGTGGATTAGAAACATCAAGTTAATTCAAAACCTAGAACCTGCATTATAAGAGTGTGCCCAGTTACATTTTGGGAGTGGCTGCTCCTTGGAGTTGTGTATACTGGCAAAATCTGAAACTGTTAGTTCTAGTATATGTAGTCTTAAAATTCACAAAATCTGCCATGTTAGCTATTTAAATGATACTGTCAACTAATATAATTCTGTAAATGTGGGAAGTTATACTCTTGAAGCACAGTGGTACAAGGTGCTTAAAAAACAGTAGCTGGACTACAGAAGAAGGAAAAAATAAATGTTTAGTACTGAGTTCAGTACCAGAGCAAGAGGTACTTTAGGAAAGTACATATTCCTGTGTTGTTCCATCTTCAGGTTATGGCCTGGGGGATGGGGTGGGGGAACCTCAATTTCTTTATAGCCATGGACTTGGTTTGGAGACCTAGAACCTTTTTAAAAAATATTTTCTTGTGTTTTTACTTGAATAGGATTTTATGTTTTAGAGTATTTCGTGAGTACAATTGAATTAAGGTTTGGAAAGATGATTTAGTCAGTAAAGTGCTTGCTGGCAAGCATGAAGCCCTGAGTTCATTCTGTAAAACACACATAGAAAGCTTAGATGCATTTATTTGTAACCTCAGCCTGGAGAGGTGGAGACCAGAAGCTCTGTGGGGCTCACTGGCCAGGCAGCAATAGCCAAATCAATGAACCCAGGTTCCTTGAGAGACTACTCTCAAACATAAGGTGGAGAGCCAATGAAGACTGAGTCAAGATCTGGCTTCTACACATGTGCACATTAGTGCACACAAGTGAATGCAAGAATCTATACAAACAAAACTGAACTAAGATGAGTTTTGTGATCAAAGTACATATTGTGTAAGTTTGGATTAAATAATAAAAATGAAAAAAAATCTGTATAAGACATTAGGTCAAAAGCAACTGCTTTACCTATGGAGTCAGGCATATGAATATTAATTTAAATAGCCCTTTTGAGCTTCAAAGTACCCAACTGTTGAATGATGGCTAGTTCGGTGTCATCTCTAAGGCATGGAAGGTGCAAGCTCCAGTCTTGAGTGCTTGCCTTTTCATGCTTTATATTGGTCCTTTGTGTTAAGTGGCTTTCCCTGGCATTCTCATCAGCAACTAAAAGATGCTGATGATGTAAGAGGTTCTTTACCAGTATGACATGATCTTTCCCCCAGTCTCTTTGTAATTGTATAAATCATCCCTAACTGCATTATTGAGTACATTCTTTGTATTTTCTTCTTTTGGGGATTTTTGTTTGTTTGGTTTTGCTGTTTTAAAGACAGGTTCTTAGTTGCATGAGTCCTGGCTAGTCTTGAACTCACTTTCTATTGGAAAATGACCTTGAGTGCCTTGTCCTTCGGCTCCCAAATGCCAGGATTGCAGTGAGGTGCTACTGTGCTCAGCAGAAGGTACTGTGATGAATTTCTGGTAGTGGAATGATTTGAAAATGACAAGTCAACAAAAGACAGGAGGATATAACCAGAGAGGTTCAGTGAGATGCATATTTGCCATTCTTTAGTTACCATTTTTGAGGGTGCGGTGCATCCCATGCCACAGCATAAGAGTGGAGGTGAGGGGACAATTTACAGGAATTGTTTCTCCCTTCTACCTTGTGGGGAATGAGAATCAAACTCGGACTCCAGAGTAAGTCCCTCACCCAGCAAGCCACCTTACTGGCCCTGCCATTTGTCATTCTGGATGTCCCATTTGTAGTCTCTTGAAAACCCTTCCTGAGTTTGGGGAATTTTCTTTCAGTCCCCCTTCCTAAGAGAGACACTGGCTTTCCAGCTTGCCTACACATTATATCAGGGAGAGAATTTGGAATCTTCCCCTTAGCTTGGAACTTCAGCTAGATAAAGCTTGAGGAATTGATTCTCAACCTGTGGGTCTCGGCCCCTTTGTGGAATTGCATATCAGATATCTACATTATGGTTCATAACTAGCAAAAATTACAGCTACGAAGTTGCAACAATTTTTTATAGTTGGGGATCACCACAATGTGAGGAACTGTATTAAAGGGCTGCAGCATTAGGAAGATTGAGAACTGCTGCTCTAAGGCATCTATCTATCCTCGCTTTGACTTGTAAGAAGTGATTGACAGCTACAATTCCAAATGACAAATCCTGAAAGATGCAGGTGAAATTAGCAAGGACTCACCTTCCCTAGCCAGAAAATCTGGTAACCCCAGTTACTTGGTCAAACATTTAGCCAAATTTACTTTACTCTGAAGTTAAGAGTGGTGTTGGGGAAATGAGCCTAGTGTTGGTGTGTGTCGAACTCAGACTGCAGGGCTCTCTCTGGTCTGCTCACTGTTGCCTTACCTGAAAATGGAGATAATAGTCATGTCTGCTTAAAGTTATTAGAAAGATTCAGTAGGTGATGTATTCTCATAATCTGTTTAAACAGTTAAGTTTTGTTTTTCCTCATGATTCTGGAGGTGGAAATAAAAGGCCAAAGTGCCAGCTTATGATCTGGCCTGGCCCCGTGTTCATCAGTGGCTGTCTTCTTTCCACATGTGTGAAGGACTAGCATTGTATGTCATTCTCCATTCCATTCTGGGATTTCCCCCAACACCCCCCCCCCCATTTACTCACATTAAGTGCATTAAACATCCTGTGAAGTTTTAATGGGCTCTGACAAACGTTCGGTACTATGTATTCATCATGGTATACAGATTCACTTTGCTGCCCTAAAAAAAGCCTCCTGTTTTCAGACCCAACCCCACCTCCATCCTGGTAATGACTGATGTGTTTACCATGAATAGTTTCACATTTTCTGGGGTGTCATATAATTGGAATCATAGCATATGCCTTTTTCATACTATCCTCTTACTTAGCACTGTAAAGGCTTGGCATGTGTCAGAAATCCCATCCCTGCACAGCCTGAACTGTATAGTGAGATTCTGTCTTTAAAAATTCGCCCATATCTTTTTGTGGCTTGATAGCTTGTTTATTTTTGTTTTGCTGTTTGTTTGTGACAATGTCTGATACAGCCCAGCTGGTCTTGAACTCTTCCCGATCTTTCTCTGCTTGGGCTTCTGGGCTAACAGGAGTTGTCACCAAGCCCTGAACTAACTTATCACGAGCAGTATTCCTTTGTGTAGCCTACACTGTATGTACTCACCTGTTGAAGGACGTCTTGATTACTTCTGGTTCTTGGCAGTTACCAAAAAAGCTGGAGTTTTTGTTGTTTTAGATTTACTTGTTATGTATACAGAACTCTGCCTGCATGTATGCCTACACACCAGAAGAGGGCACCAGATCTCATAGATGGTTGTGAACCACCCTGTGGTTGCTGGGAATTGAACTCGGATCCCTGGAAGAGCAGCTGGTGCTCTTAACCTCTGAGCCATCTCTCCAACCTCCAAAGCTGGAGTTTTTTAGAACCGTGATTGTCAGGCTGTGTTGTTAAGACTGTTTCTCTGTTTTCACTCTGGGTATATACGCATACCCAAGTTTCACCAATTTTTAGCAGAAACCATTTAGGGGAAAACTCTTGAATTTTTAGCTCTTTTAAATGTCTTTTCTTATCCTCTCAGAATCATCTATTCCCTGCCTCTCTTTATTTTTGATTGCCTCTTCTGTTGTATTTGGTTACAAATTAAATGTCTTCCCCTAGGCCCCCCGAATTGCTGTTAAAGATTAGTATGACCCATGTCTGACAGAGCCCGTTCATTTTAGACCATTTCCTGCCCTGGATACTCTTGGCCACTGCCTCCTTGAGGTGTGACCTCTATTCCTGTTACTGTGTCTGTCACCATTGACCCAGTGCTTCCACCTGCTCTCCTGACCTTCAGTCTCATTTACCCAGTCCTCCTTACAAAAGGAGGTCTCACTGCGCCGTAGACTTCAGCCCCTCATTAACTCCGTCATGCCCCACACTTGGCTAGTTTTTCTCTTTATAAGCTTTCTCGTAAACTCTGATTTGGAGAAAAGCATCTCTTCATCTGAGAAACCTAGGAATCCTCCCTTTTATTCCAGTCCAGGTGGCAGTTGAGATACATTGCTTTTCTTTCCCGTCTTTCCTATTAACCCAGTGGAGTGCTTTTATTGCAGACCCTCCTCATCTCTGGTCTTGGGCCAGGCTTCGGCCCAGAGCCTCTGCTACTCTCCCTGTTCTGATACTGCATTCCTCCAGTCTGCTCAAGTGATGCAGGGGCTGTTCAAACCACTCCTATGCATAAGAATCTCATTCTCCATAGCCAGCTCTGGGTGTACAGACGGTGTAAGTGGAGCGGTTCTCACTACCCTTGGCTTATTTCTGTCCTGTGACACCCTCACCTCTGGCAAGAAAAACCACTGGCTCTTTTTGGTCCTCCTTCCCTCAGCCTAGGATATTATTCCTTCCATTCTTCCATCCTGTACCTAGGGAGACGCTACTCAAGGGTTTTGGTAACACAAGCCTCATAATGAAGAAAGTCCCCCACCCTGTACTTCCCCACTTTTAACTTTTTGCTGGATTGCTTCAGACATCTGCCTCTGTGTTTCTAGATCTATCCTTGTGAGGCTTCTGCCTCTTTCTGAGCAGGTGTCTAAGGTCAGTCTGTACTCAGACTTCATTTCCATTCATGCTTCAAACCAGTACAACCCAAAGAGTAGATCCAAAAAGAGACATTGACTCAAGAATAGGAAAAGGAATCCCCGGCATCATGTAAATTTGTTCAGTTCAGAAAATTATGTGCGAGAGCCAATCTTTAGTTATGAAGGAATGAATTTGTTGAGAATACAACAGGCCTTTAATCCCAACATCGGGAATCAGAGGTAGGCAGATTGCTGTGAGTTTG